TGGTCCCCCTTGGTTAGCGACGGGGGAGACATTTTTCAGCGGTGGGGGGTAGTCCGCAATTACTTTTGATGAGGCCCTTTTGGGGTTTAATTTTTTTGACTTGAAATTTGGGACGTTATTCGACATTTTTTCATAGGTTTGTGAGACTGAAATGAAGAAAGGATATATTTATAATAATTAGGTCCATCAAAACAATGTTGAGACTGAAATGAAGAAAGGATATATTTATAATAATTAGGTCCTTCAAAACAATGTTGAGACTGAAATAAAGAAAGGATATATTTGTAATAATTAGGTCCATCAAAACAATGTTGAGACTAAAATGAAGAAAGGATATATTTATAATAATTAGGTCCATTAAAACAATGTTGAGACTGAAATGAGAAAAGAAAAAAAAATGGGAATTAAATAAATCATTCACAACATACTTTTTATTTCTTAAATCGAGGGAAGATGACTCAGAAATATAGTGGACACAACTAGAAAAAATGAGCCATGGTGGCATAGTGGTTGTTCCACTTAGCTGCCAAGACAGGGCTTGAGGTTCGCACTCGAGGGAGCATTATTCTTTCCTAACCAGTATGACTCTGGAGTTTACCTCACTTCATAGAAACAGGTACTGGATAACTTCTTGAGTTATCTGGGAATTCATGAGAAGGGAAGGTGACAACAAAAGGAACTGAACACCCCTCCCCCTTCATCCCCATTATTATTATGGTCTAGATTGTGTCATACCCTAAAAGCAGTTTCTGCCTTAGGGCTACATTTTATTCAAAGTCTTTTAAAAAAATTATAATGTTTCACAAGGAGCCACTGTGGTGTAGTGGCAAAACACCTCCCGGGCCGAAGGTCTAGGGTTAATCTCCCAGGCCAAACAAGCCTGGTAATGTTCATGGAAGTAAAGGTGGCTAGCATGATATCGACCATATTGTGCATCGATTCCCAGTTGATCTATAAAAATATAGGTGTAGCCCTATATGCCTGATGCGACGGAAGCACAAAAATGGTCCTTTAATTGACTTTTCTTTGAATTTTTCCCAGCACTTGAGATCCGTCACCAGCAGAATGTCCTTGAGCCTTGATGATAAACTCCTCGGAGAGAAGGTGCATTACTACTGCAGCAGTAGTGAGGATGAGGCTGATGAAGGGGATGACAGCGATGGAGGAGGAGCTGACGATGAAGGCAGCAGCGGCCATAAAGTTGTGCGTGAAGGAAACGCTATTTCGCCAACAGATATGCTGGCTGATGGTTATGGGCCTGGTGTGACAAATGTAAGCCAGATGGTTGTTGTCGTCTTCTGTTTTCATCCACATTCAGATGCAGATCCAATTGTCTTGGGTTCAAATCCACCCCAAGCCAGACACTTTGTTTCCAACAGTGACCTTGGCTGGCTGCCAGGTCAACCCAGTGTTAAATGTGTACCAGGTAAAGTCCTGGGAAGTAAAGGCGTTGACCACATCACCTACCAAGAGTTTAGTGGGTCTACAAAGTACGCGTCTAGCACCAAAAGAACCAATAGACATGAAGATATGGAAAAGAGCCTTTACTAATAAAAAAAAAGTTATCCACATGTTATGCAAACTGCATGCACAGTTGTGGCCCAAAATTTAAGACCACCCCATAAATAATTGATACTTCCACACTGTTATGGGTTGTTGTTAACTGTTGTTTAGGGCAGCATGATGACTGCAGCGATTGCGCCAAGTCCTAAAGAAGCAGTCAATGCGGTACTCAATAACAGTATGGAAAATTCAGTTATTTATTAGGTGATCTTAGACTCTTGGGGAACTGCCGAGATGTAGTGGCTAGATGCTCGCCTATGGATCCGAAGGTCATGGGTTCGGATTTTTTCAAATGTGACCTTGGCTTCCTGGCTCACTCAGCCTTAAATGGGTATCAGGTAAATTCCTGGGAAGTAAAGGTGGCAGACAGGATGTTGACCACATCATTCATGGAAAGCCGAAGGGTCATAAAAATACAAGTCTAGCCTTCTATGCCCAATGCACTACTAGTTTGTAAAGAGAAGGGACTCTTACTTAAACTTTGGCCAACACTGTATAAATTCTCTTCTTTTCTTCTTCTTCCTTCTTCTTTTGTCTTCTTCTTATGCCAGGTCTGGAGCAGATGGAAGATGATAATGATTCTGTACTCCTCTAAATCATAGAATATTTTCATGAAGCTTATATGCATGCAGAAGGCACATACATGCACCTCACGTGTGTGCACACACACATACAGAGAGAGAGAGAAAGAGGCTTATAGATACAAAAATACAAATGCAGAAACATGGTCCCCCTCCCTCCCCCCCCCCCCCCCCATACATGCCTAGACTTATATGAATACAGTTCTCCCCCACCCACGCACGCGTGCACGCACACATAGTCAGTGATACTAGAACGCACAGATGGACATACACACAAGTATCTATATGTGCGTGTATATATGTGTGTATGTACACACTCAATCACATACTCAGTATGGAACCTCAATTCTCAAACTATTTTTACTTAAAAGCTGTTCTGAAACCAATTGTTTGGAAACTGAAACCCCCCAACCTCCCACCCCATAATAACCTATTAATTAATGTTAAATAGATTAATTTGTTTCTTAACTTCAGATATTGTACGTGTGTGTGTATGTATGTATGTATATATATATATATATATATATATATATATATATATATATATATATATATATATATATATATATATATATATATATATATATATATATATATATATATATGCATGCGTATATGTGTGTGTATGAGAGAGAGATATGCATGTATACAGATGGTGAGAGTTGACTAATAGGCACACATTTTGTCACTTGTATTTTTAATTTTTCAGACAGGTCCTAAGGGAGTGATTAAAGACTGGAGAGAATATAAGAGACTTCAGACGGAGAAACGAGAAGAGCAGGAGAGAGAGAGGATTCAGCTGGCAAAAAAGCTGACATTGACCTGTCGATCACATGTAAGGTGTTTCACTTTGTTTGTCTCTCTTGATGTATTTTTGCTAGTTCTGCTGTAAGTCCAGAATAGAACATTGCAATTCCTTGCGAAACATGGCAGTTTGTGGTCACAAACAATACTTTACTTTACTTTACTTTTTCCTTCCACGTATGCCGCTAAGCGTTGTGGGGAGATGCAAGTTCCTGTCATAAGCAAGGCGGGCAGCATCTGATGTTCTGAGGCCATGCTTTTGGCAGGTTTCGGAGACCCCGTCAATCCACAGTTTCCTTGGTCTTCCTCTTGCCTTATATCCTGAGCTTCTTTGGTTGAAAATTTGTGATGTTATTTGGTCATTTTTCATCCTGGTTAGATGTCCAAACCATTTCATTCTTTGATGTTCTATGTAGTCTAAACATGGTGTAGTTTTGACAGTGTTTCTAATGTCTATGTTCTTTATCCTGTCTAGTCTGGTCTTATTCGCTGCTTTTCTTAGACATTTCATTTCACAGGCTTCTATTTTTCTTTCATGGGTCTTGTTGATTGTCCATGTCTGGCACTGGTAGCAGAGTGTTGGAATGAAGATGGTGTTTATCAATTGTCTTTTGGTCTTCATGGTTATATCTGGATGTTTAAGCAGAGGTGATAGTTGGTATGTGACAGCATTTGCTTTCTGTATTCTTGTTTCTATCTCTCTGTCCATTCTTCCATCCTCTGTAAATATACTGCCCAAGTATTTGAACTCTTTGGTTTGCTTGATTTTATGCACTTCCAACATTTATATTCAGTGGCCTGTGTGTTCTGCTGATCTTCATAACTTCTGTTTTTTCTGTACTGATTCTCATATTATGTTGTAAACAGCTGTTGTTGAGAGAAGTCAGATGTTCCTGTAGATCATATTCATTTTGAGACAGTATGCTTTGATCATCAGCAAAAAGTAATTCGTTTATAGCATACACGTCTGGGTTTGCTTCTACAGTGATCTTATCCATGTATGTTATGAAAAGTAATGGTGACAGTACACATCCTTGTCTGACACCAGTTGTGACTTTGAACCATTCAGAAAGACCACTAGATGTTCTTACTGCACTTTCACTTTTTTCATAGAGGGCTCTGATGTTGTCTAATAATTGACCCTGCACTCCGTAATCGTCAAGAATTCTCCACAGCATATCTCTGTCCACACGGTCGAATGCCTTCTCTTGATCTACAAAGACCACGTTCAGCTCTTTATCGTATTCGAGTGTCTTTTCACAGACTTGTCTTAGTGCAAATATGGCATCAGTGCAACCTCGCCCTTTCCTGAAACCGAATTGTGCTTTACTCAGTAGAGGTTCAACCTTTGCTCTTATCCTACCTTCTAAGATCTTTGCATACATTTTCCCCACATGACTTAGTAAAGATATTCCTCTATAAGTTCCACATTCTCTCTTGTTTCCTTTTTTCTTCCAGATAGGTACTACAACTGATCTTTGCCAATCCACTGGTACCTTTCTCTCTGCCCATGCTCTATTGAAAATTCTCTCCAGCCAGGTCATCATAGTGTCCCCTCCAGCCTGGATGACTTCTGTTGTTATTCCGTCGATACCAGCTGCTTTGTGTCTTTTACTTGTTTTGATAACTTTCTCTACCTCATCCCGCAGGATATGTGGTTCTAGATGATCTGGAGCCCTTGAATGGAATTCTGCTGTTTCATGTACTCCCGACGGGTTCAAAAGTTCTTTAAAATATTCCTCCCATCTTTTTTTAATTTCTTTTTTGCTGAATAATGGTTTTCCATTTTTATCATTTATGACTGATGTTGGATTGAAGCTTTCTTCTCTTAATCGCATCGCTTTCACACTCTTATAAAAGTCTTTTGATGATTCTGTACATAGCTGTGTCAGGTGTTCACCATACTTTTTCCATGAATCCTCTTTGGATTTCTTTATTGTTCTCTTGGTGTCTCTTCGAGTTAGTCTGTACCTAATGTAATCCTTTTCGTCTTTTGTTTTTAACCATATTTGAAACATCTTCTTTTTATTTGACACTGCTTCTTTGACTTCTTCATTCCACCAAGCGGTACCCTTTTTCTTGCCTTTGCCCGTCTTTCTGGTACCACACTTGTCTTTTAATATCTTCGTGATGGTTGATTTATAATAATCCCATTCTTCTTCAATTCTTACTGGTTCCTTGGCAATATCTGCAAAAGCCTTTGTTATTTCTAGTTCAAATTCATGTTTGATATTCTCTTCCTCTAATTTCTTAGTGTTGATGATTTCTTCACGTTTCTGTTTATGTAGACTGTTTCTACTTGAGTTGCATATGTTCATAACTACTGGGCGATGGTCTGAATCCAGTCCCGCATTTGGGACAGCTTTTGAGTCTCTTACCTTCCTCTTCTGCCGTTGTCTGACTAGTATAAAATCAATTTGTGACGCTTGATCTAAGTTGTTCCACTTGTACCACGTTTTAACCTGACTTTGGCGATGTTGATAGAATGTGTTGGTAATGTAGAGATCTTGTTCAGCACACAAGTTTAGCAGGTGTTCTCCATTTCTATTGCAGTCTGTGGTTGTGTCGCTGAATGGGCCAAGGTATCTCTCCCATGGTGATCTTCTTTTACCTACCCTACCATTAAAATCTCCCATTACTATGATGTCCTCTTTCTCTTTAACATTATTGATGGTGTCCGTAAGTCTCTCGTAAAAGTCTTCTTTTTCTTCTTCAGAGTAACTGTCATTACAAGGTGCATATATCTGAATAATCGTTGTAGTTTTACTTCCTTCTGTCAACTTGATTAAAATAATTCTTTCTGATATAAATTCTGTTCCTGTTATTAATTTTGCTGTCTCGGGATGAAGTATAAATCCGACACCATGTTTTGCCCTATCTTTAGTGGGTACTCCGCTCCATACTAAAATATAATTTTCATGTATTTCTTTTGCATTATATCCTTTCTTTCTTGTATCCGCAAGACCCATGACGTGTATATTTTTTCTTTTCATGAAATCCACTATTTGTGGCTCTTTGTTGGCAATACCACATATGTTCCATGTGCCTATGTAAGTCGTTTTTCTGTCTCGTCGTCCTTTAACGTTTCCAGTCCATTTTCCGTTTGGGGCTATCCGTTTATTTATCTCCTTTCTAATTTTCGTAGCAATAAAAAATCCACTGCCGGCTTGCTAGGCCAGTCGCAGTTTAAGGGAAAATCTGACCAGATGGACCCCATCCCATCTGGCCAGCCAGAGCCTCGTTCGCCTGTGGCCTCACGGCCACAGTTTCCCGGTCTGCACCACTGGGAGGAGAGGTTGACTTATGTGTACTGTGGGTCATCGGCAGGCTACTAATTTTCACTTTTCACCTCTCCTGAGAGAAGCTAGCCGACCCCAACCCTGCTGTCACAAACAATACCCACGCAATTCATGCTCCCATGGCCACTATACATGGTAAACAACAATTGATTCTAATTTTCACATACCCGAATACAGTATTTTATTTACAAACTAATAAAAATGCACCATCGGATAACTATGCGTTTTCTTTTTTCTGAACAGTATAATTAAAGAAAAGAGCAACCAAGAGGTTTTGAAAGAGGCGGAAGCCCGAAGACAACTTATCACAGACATCAGAAGGAGACAGTCATAATTTTTTAGCCATGTTATGAGAAGAGGGAAAATAGAACATGTTGTGACCACTGGAAAGATCTGTGGAAGGAGGGATAGAGGAAGACAACGAGAGAAGATGCTTGACAGTCTTGTTGCATGACATGGAGGTGTGTCGGCACACGAACTGATACATGCTGCAGGAGATCGCAGATTTTGGAGAGGCATGATCGCCCAGGCCAGTCGACAAGGCACCTGATGATGATGATAATTAAAGATTTGCTGAAATCAGATGTTTTGAGCCAAAATGTTAAGAAATCACAGCCCAGCTGTAAAATAAAAACAACTCAGCATGGCACTTCCCTTGTAAGGGCAAACACAGAATAACAAGAAGCAGGTTATGCCATGTGATGCTCTCCTAATATCACATATTGTGATAAAGTGATTTTTCTTATGGAAGGCTAATATGAAATATTGTTAATTTGATGCAGTAATACATATTCTGGCCTGCCACATAGGTGGTCTTGGTTCAGTCCCCAGACATTGCAGAATTGTTCAGCTGATACAGTTTGTTTGGGTACCAGATATTTTCCAGAAATGTCTGAGAAAGAAAGAGGATGAGCAAGGAACTAACATTATCATCTCATGTGAGGCCTTCTGTGTGTGATGGCTTAAACACTTCACATTACAAAGGTTTATCTGCTGTAAAACTATATTTAACCCTGTTGATTCTGGCTTTTACAGGTCATGGTGACATGAAGTCTTTGGGTATTGGGCACTATTCAAATATACCAGCTTTGGTATTGGCTGCAACTGCTTAGTGTTTAGACATTGTGGGTAGGGCTATATTTCATGATGCCACTTAGCTCTACGTGGCTGTCTTAACAAAACTCCTGGTCTGATGGTCAAAGGAAAAGAAAACATTTAATTCTTTGCTCAGTACTTAGTGATTACTTTCCTTGTCATACAAATTTATAGACTCAAATTGGTAATGAAAATGTAAATCAATTTTTGTGTGACTTAACGACTCTAAAGAAGCTGCGGCTTTCATGTCTGCTTGATGGTTTGAGAGTTTTGCCCCCTGGAGTTTTATCAAATCAGACCAAGATTAAACATTTCTTTTGCTGTTTCTTCTCTTCCTCTTTCTTTGGTGAAGGTTTCAGAGAATTAACAGAATTTGTTTAGAATCCTTTACTGTCTTTTTTAGTAGGGCTGTACCGAATATTCGCTTCGGGACCGAATAGTGGACCTATTGACTATTCAGTATTCGGCCGAATTGTTGCGGTCAAGCCTAATACGAATAGTAGTTACCTTACACCCGGTTCTGCATACACGGCCTTAATGCTGACAACATGGAACGATTGGTTTTGTTGAAAGCTAATGCAGCTTTCATGCATTATCTAAGCTGTCAGTGACAATTTCCAAGTTTAGTTACTTCTTATAATAGTTAGGATTCTTTCATTCCTAGTTATTAGTTACCAAAGACTGACTGAAGGATGCAAAACATAAAATGTTTTTAAATGTTTACTATTCTCTACGAATACTAACTAGACATGGAGAGAATATTAACACCGGCAACACCCAAGTCGATAATATGAAAATCAAATGAACGGAAACATATAAGTACTTGGGTGCAAACTTCAACTGCTCCAACATGCTGAGAGAAGAAATACAATCTAGAATACAATCTAGAAATAAAGTATACTATGCCCTTCAACATCTGCTAAAGTCAAAGTGTCTGTCTCGCAACATCAAGATCAAAATATATAAAACGTTCATAAGACCAGTCGTTTTATATGGCTCTAAAACTTGAAGCAGAAATAAAAGAGATGAGGCCTTATTACAGGTTTCGAAAACAGTCTTACGACAAATCTTTGGACCCATCAAAGATAATAACAGCAGGGAATGGAGAGTGAGAAGCAACAACGTAGCACATAATCTGTTTAAACCACAGTTGATTGTGGCATCATGAGAGCTAACAGACTGAAATGGTTGGGGCATATTGAAAAAATGTCAGATGACAGAGAAGTAAAAACTGTATACAAAAGGGGGATGAAAGGTCGTAGACCACGAGGCAGACAAAAAAGACGTTCGAGAGATAATGTCCAGCCAGACCTGCAAACAACGTGTCACAAATTGTGAAGATAAGGCCAGACAGAGAGATGAATGGAGACGAGTGATATCTGCAGCAGTAAACCTCAAGGGCTCAGAATGATAAAAAAGAATATGACTATTCTGTGCTACTTTATGTGAAGTAAAAGTTCAGCGTACATTTGACATTATGAATGTGTGTTTTTTTTTTTGGGGGGGGGGGGGGGGGGGGGGGGGGGGGGGGATTTTATTAACTTTACACTATTCTTATTCGGCCGAATAGTTGGTCCCGTTATTCGTATTCGGCCGAATAGTGAAAAATCACTATTCGGTACAGCCCTACTTTTTAGGATGAAATTTTTCGTTATTTGAAGCACCACCCTGGCTCTTTCCGGGGGCCGCAATATAGCCAGGCCATAAAAATGGCCTAATGGCTGAACGCGGTTTCTGGGACCTCTCCAAGGTGATCCTCATCCACATGATGGCACATTGTGTCATCGGGTTTTTACCGCTTGTGTGATGTCCTAGTGGGGTAGAAAATCAGTCAGTCAGTCAGAATTTGTTATGTTTAAAATGAACTTTGGGAAAAGGACATCTTATAGGATTCTCAAAGGATGAAAGTGTTCAGTCAAAAACAAAACTGTAACTTCTTTCTTATAGTGCCACTTTTTAGGGCGATGTAGGAATGGGAGACAAAAGGGGGGGGGGGGGTGGAACTAAGCCTCAGGATTTAATACTGCATGGCAGGCACAGCTGCCTAGAACTGGGCAAGTTAAGATTGTTTCATCACCTTACGGTATCTCCTTGTCCATGATTGCTTTCAGCTCAATGATGAAGAAGAAAAAAATGAGGATCAGAAGTTTCTGGAAGAATTAGACGAATTGGAGGATGAATTTCTCAAAGAGTATCGCTTGAAGCGAATAGAGGAGATGAGAAAAGCACTGGCTGAAGTGTAAGCTTTCACATTTTTGTTTTTCACTTCCTGTTATTTCTTAACATGTTTGTAATAACAAAATTAACAGGTTACTAGTCCTAACATGTTTGTAATAACAAAATTGACAGGTTACAAGATAGTGACTTTGTTATTGTGATTTCTGTCACACTTTGTAGGCTTTCATTTGAAGCTGCCTTTTATATTTATCACATGATAATCATCCAATAACAGATTCTTTACAGAACGTCTCGCCCTTCACAGCTTGCCTAAAGTCTCTCTTTCTGTAGCTAATTCTCCAGCCTTATGTGCTTTTATAACCAGTGCATCTTCATTGTCTTGTATGCATCTTTAGTGAGTCAGCCTCTGTCTCATTTTCTATAAATTGTACCCTCCATCACCGTTCTCTCCAGACCATCATGACATTTAACTTGGCCAAAATGTCTCAACTTTCGGGACAATGTGCTGTTAATGATCCAACTCTACGTAGTGTTCAGATAATGTATGGTGTCGATGTTTCTCTTCTTAGTCAATGGTATTCTAAGAATTGTTCTGTCACATTTCAGTTAAGATATTTGTCATATAGGTTATATAAGTTTCAAATTGTATTATATTTATTGTTAAGGAGACAGATATATTGAGTTGTATGCCTTCTGGTTTTGGCAGGCCAAAGTTTGGGAAGTTGGTAACTCTGACGTCACAGAATTTTATTGAAGAGGTTGACGGAGAGAACCCGGGTGTTACCATAATTGTTCACATTTATGATCCGGTATGTATTGTTTGATCTTCCTATACTTCCACTATTCCTTCTTCCTTCCCATCCTTCTTTCCTTCCTCTCTTCTTTCATTCCTTTCCTTTTTTGGATTTTTGCCCCCAATCTCTTCCTCCCTTCCTTTTTGCCTCCCTCTCTACCTGCCTCCCTCCCTTCTACATATACTGTCACACACACACACACACACAAACACACGCCCATCCTTACACACATACAGTTACCCCTTCCCCAATCACCCCTACCTTCACGCACACCACAGTCACTCCTCTCCCACACACTCAAACACCCCTTTGCTCACACACACAAACTTCTTCTACTCCACACATGCACAATACCTCTACCCTCCCTCTACACACAAACACACCCCTCCCCCACACATGCAAACACACACACACACGAGTTTCAAATTTGTGAGTACTTTGTGCTGGCCAGAGACCTTATAGGTTAGGTTGCAAGTTTGTTGGTAGGTGTGGCTGCAGTGGAAATGTAAGGTCAGGTTGCAAGTGTGTGTGTTTGTGGTGGAAATTTGAGGTCAGGTTGCAAATGTGAATGGGTATGGTTACAGTGGAAATGTGAGGTCAGATTGCAAGTGTGTGTGGCTGCACTGGAAATATGAGGTCAGGTTGCAAGTGTGTGTGGATGTGGCTGCAGTGGAATAGGAAGGTCAGGCTGCAAGTTTGTGTGTGGCTGTAGTGTAAATGTGAGGTCAGATTGCACGTGTTTGTGTGGATGTGGGTGCACATGGGAGTTAAAGGGCATATTACACATTTCTGTGTGTTTGATGTGGGTTCGAATGAAAATGTGTGGTCAGATTGCAGACTTATTAGTGTAGTTGTGATTGCAATGGAAATGTGAGGTCATTAGGTGAGGTACTGACTCAGGTACACATGTGTGTGTTATCTCGTGTTATGCTTGGGATCTCAGAATGTTAATTTGGATGTTAGACTGTTACTATTTTAAGTGCTAAATAGTTTTTCAGTATGTGTGTGTTTTAGACTGAGTTACCATTTTAAGTGTTCAACAGTTTTCATTGTTTGTGTTTTAGACCAGGTTACCATTTTAAATGTTATATAGTTTTCAATGTGTTTGGTGTGGACCAAGTTACCATTTTAAATGTTATATAGTTTTCAATGTGTTTGGTGTGGACCAAGTTACCATTTTAAATGTTAAATAGTTTTCAATGTGTTTGGTGTGGACCAAGTTACCATTTTAAATGTTATATAGTTTTCAATTTGTTTGGTGTGGACCAAGTTACCATTTTAATTGTTATATAGTTTTCAATGTGTTTGGTGTGGACCAAGTTACCATTTTAAATGTTATATAGTTTTTAATGTGTTTGGTGTGGACCAAGTTACCATTTTAAGTGTTATATAGTTTTTAATGTGTTTGGTGTGGACCAAGTTACCATTTTAATTGTTATATAGTTTTCAATGTGTTTCGTGTGGACCAAGTTACCATTTTAATTGTTATATAGTTTTCAATGTGTTTGGTGTGGACCAAGTTACCATTTTAAGTGTTAAATAGCTTTTGGTGTGTGTGTGTGTTTTAGGCCAGGTTGCCTATTTGACTATTATTTTTTAACATGTTTATTCATTTTAAATATTCATGTTTCTCCACCCGTTTTTACTGACCCTTTATGACTTATTTCTCCCCCTGTTTTTATGCATCTCTTTTCACTTACTTCTTCCCCTGTTTTTGCGTACCTCTTCTCACTTATTTCTCCCCCCCTCCCCGCCCCCCCATTTTTTACATACTCTTTCTTATTTCTCCCCCTACTTTTACGTACCAATTCTTACTTATTTCTATTGAGCTTTCTTGTCATATTTTTTGTTGTATTTCGCACTATTTGAGTATGAGGTCAAGTTACTATTCACGGCCAGGTGACATTACTATATAGGCAGCTGGAGCTGTGATGAGTGGTAAGAAGACTGGGTGGGTTTTTATGGCAAAGGTAAATTGACATTCTTTGAAAAAAAAAGATAGCCTTGCATATAACGTCACAGCATCCAGCGGAATATCTAGGAGTGACCTAGATAGGTGGGATGCTTTGACTGGTTGAAGAGTTACAGCAAGGGATGTTACTCAATATATTTAAATAAAATAAAACTGTCATTTGACCTTTTTCCCTAGGCTTTGGAAGGTGTTCCCGCCCTGCTTGTGTACAAGAACAAAGAACTCATTGGTAATTTCATTCGTTTGAAGGATGAGTTTGGAGACGATTTCTACGCTAGCGATATTGAAAGTTTTCTGCAAGAGTGAGTACTACCATATTTTGGTTTTTCATAACTGTATTTATCGTTCAGTTGTGTTCTTATAACTTGGTCACAGACGTTAGATTTGACTGTTTCTAAAGTTCTTCTTACAAGAAGCAGAGACAGCAGCAGCAAAAGGAAACCTCAGAGAACTTTACAATAACACAAGAAAATTAGAAGGTAAATATAGTCAGCCAACTGGATCAATCAAAAATAGTCAAGGAAAGGTACTTACTAACACTAAAGATCAAATGGACAGATGGGTTGAATATTTTGAAATGCTTCTAAATAGACCAGGTCCAGAGGTTCCCCCAGATATCCAGCCTTTAGAAATGGAACTGGATATCAACTGTGAGATACCATCCAAAGAGGAAATTAGAAAAGCTATAAATCTTCTCAAGTAAGGAAAGGCGACAGGCCCAGACGGTATCCCAGCTGAAGCCATCAGGACCAACATAAACACATCAACAGAATTGCTACATAGATTATTCAGTAAAGTCTGGGAGATCGAAGAAATACCAGCAGACTGGAGAGAAGGATATCTTGTGAAACTGCCCAAAAAAGGTGATCTACAGGAGTGTGAAAACAATAGAAGAATTATGTTGCTGTCAGTTCCTGGAAAAATATTAAGTAGAATTATTTTGGAAAGATTAAAAGATGCTATTGATAAAATGCTAAGAGATGAGCAGGCAGGTTTTCGGTCAAACAGATCCTGTACTGATCAGATAGCCACATTACGTATTATAATAGAGCAAAGCATTGAACTGAACTCACCACTTTACATTGGATTTATAGACTATGAAAAAGCATTTGACAGCATAGATAGGGAATCTCTCTGGAAATTGATGGGGAACTATGGAATCCACAGAAAAATTATCAACTTAGTAAAGGCAACATATAAAGACATGAAATGTCGAGTTCTTCATGAGGGAAAGCTAACAGATGCATTTGAAATAAAAAACAGGTGTGCGACAGGGATGTCTTTTGTCGCCTCTCTTATTTTTACTGGCTATAGACTGGACTATGAAAACAGTAACTGCTAACATCAAGAATGGAATTCAGTGGACCCCTACAAAACAGCTTGATGATCTGGACTTCGCTGATGATATTGCTCTTCTGTCCCATTCACGGAATCAGATGCAAGATAAATTAAATATACTTAATGCGAGATCACAGCAGCTTGGTCTGAAAATCCATAAAGGAAAGACAAAGATAATGAGAATAATCAGGCAAATAGTAATGTGGGTTTCTCTTAATGGCACCCCACTCCAAGACGTGGAGTCGTACACCTATTTAGGCAGTAATGTAGATAAAGATGGAGGAACTGATAGAGATATTAAAATAAGAATACAAAAGGCAAGAGGGGCTTTCATAGCACTAGGGAATTTGTGGAGGTCAAAAGAAATTAAAAGAAATACTAAACTAAAATTTTTTTAATTCTAATGTCAAATCAGTACTATTGTATGGGGCGGAAACATGGAGAACAACCAAGGCAATTACTAATAAATTACAGACATTCATTAGCTGGTGCCTGCGCAGAATAGAGGGAATAAAATGGTATGATAGAATAACTAATGTAGAACTTTGGGAGAGAACTAAACAGGCTCCAGTGGATCAGGAGGTGAGGAAAAGACGCTGGCGTTGGATAGGGCACACACTGAGAAAACAGGAGAACAGCATTACTAGAATGTCTTTGCATTGGAACCCACAGGGGCATAGGAATAAAGGAAGGCCAAAAAACACACGGAGAAGAGAGCTGGAGAACGAGGTTAGAAAGATTGGGAGGACATGGGGAGAGCTCCATGCAATGGCGAAGGATAGAACGACTTGGCGTGAGTTGTTTGAGGGCCTATTCTCCATTGGGGTATAGAAAGGCAGAAGAAGAAAGTTCTTCTTATCTTTCTGCTTTCATCTTTTCTTGGGCAGTTAGCACATTGTGTTGTGGTTTTACATGCAATAATGGGTTCCCAGAACTCACTCGGGGAGACTTGGTTCAATGTAACATGCAAGAACTCTATTTCTAGTCATTAGTGAATTTTACTGCAAGAGTGGTTTTTTTTCTTTCCTGAAGCAGTGTTTGCTTGTTCTACTCTGTTCTTTTTCTGTGTGATATATCTCCTATCCGGTTTTTTTTTCCTCCTTCTCTCACTCCCTCTCTCTCTCTTCAACACACTCACATGCACAACTCTGTCTTGACTCCTCCGCTCTCCTCCATATGTATAATCTTCCTTCTTTCACCTTGTCTCTCGTACAGGTACCCACATACACACAACTTTTCTAATACACCCCCCCCCCTTCTCCCCCACTCCCCTATTTTTTTAAAAACATGCACAGGCTCATACACTCTTATATTGAGCCACCTATGCTTCCTTCACATCTCTTCCCTTTCTCACTTTTGCCTCTCTCTCTTAATCCACACACACTTCTCCATACACCACCCCATTTGTACTGACAGATGCTCACTTCATGACTTCAACTGACACTAGTTAAATGACACACATAAGTAGCTAGCTGGGTATTCTACCACTCTACTGCACAACTACTCTCATATGAACTGATCATGCACTTTAACAAAACCGAACATTATTTAAGAAATAAACTGTTATAAATATTTATGTAATAAATATTTATGTGGTATCTGTCTAGGTCTTTCTTTAGGTGCCGATCAGCATATGTCAATTTGTTTATAAAATTTTTTTCAGACATGGATTCCTGCCGTCCCAGGATTCCATTCGTGTGATTCGTGATCAGCATACAGGGGAGATCCGTGGAACTCTTCAACAAGAAGGAAATGACAGTGATTTTGATATTGATTAGATATCTGACTACGTTCTTAACAATTTTTGCATTTATTGATTCTTCTTCACTTCCTCTTTTACCGCTGATGGTGTCGAGGGAGATATAAGGTTCTGTTTCTAGATCTTCTGGCTGCCTCAACCATAGGCACATCTTGCTGTTGTAGAGTTTCTCTAATGTTATCCTTCCATCTTGTTCTTGGTCTACCCCGTGCTCTACGTCCTTCTTCTCTTTCCATGTATGCTTTGTATGGTATGGTGTCACAAGGCATTCTCTCTAAGTAGGCAAACCATTTCACTTGCTGTCTTTATATGTAATCCAGAATTGGTTCTGTGCCGACTTGTTCTCTTATGATCTCATTCCTGATCTTATCTCTTAGGGTCACTCCTACAGCCCTTCTCAGACATCTCATTTCCGTGGTTACTAATTTTATTTTATGGTTTGTTGTGAGTGACCATGTCTGGCACTGGTAGCACAGAGTTGGAATAAATATGCTTTGAATAAGATGTCTCTTTGTGCTGATTGGGATTGTTTTATGCTGTAAGAGGGGGGCTAGCTGTACCAATACTTGGTTTGCTTTACTGCATCTAATGTCAATTTCTTTACCCAATTTCCCATCTTCGGTAAATGTAGTTCCCAGATATTTAAACTCAGATGCCTGTTTAATGCCTTTGTATTCTATTGCTATGTTTAGATCTGTCTTCTTTTTTCCTATTGACATTACTTCTGTCTTTTCAGTGTTGATTCTCATATTATTTGTTTTACATTCTTCATTCATGGATGTTAGATGTTGTTGCAATTTCATGGCTGTATCTGCTATCAAGGCCTGGTCATCTGCAAAGAGTAATTCGTTGATCTTACTAAGATCTTCATTCATGGGCTTGGCATTCTTGCAAAAACTGTCGATGTAGGTGATAAACAGCAGTGGTGATAAGACACACCCCTGTCTTACTCCAGATGTCACTGTGAAAGGATGAGATTTATTCTAACTACACTTCTACAATCCCTGTATAAACTTTTGCACACTTCGATGAGGTGTTCGCTTACTCCATATCTTGCCATTATTTTCCATAATAATTGTCTGTCAACTCTGTCAAATGCCTTCTCCTGGTCTACGAATGCCACAAATAAGTTCTTATTGTATTCAATGTTCTTTTCTATTAACAGTTTAAGTGTGAAGCTTCTATTTCTCCTAAATCCCATCTGTTCTTCTGCCAGCTGTGGTTCTATCACTGGTCTCAGTCTTGTTTCTATTATCTTGGCATACATTTTGCCAACATGGTTTAAAAGAGAGATGCCTCGATATTGACCGCATTCTCGTTTGCTTCCTTTGTTCTTCCACAATGGTATAACTATTGCATGTTGCCAATCAATAGGGGCCGTTTGTTGTACCCATGCTGCATTGAATATTCTGTGAAGCCATCTGATGCTGCTTTCACCTGCTGCTTGAATTATTTCTGTTGGTAATCTATCAGCTCCTGGTGCTTTATATTTGGGAGACTGTTTAATGACTTTTTCTATTTCATCCATTAGTATGTGTGGTTCTAACACTGTTGCTCTGTGCTCTTTAGTTGTTCTTTCCTGATGATCTCCTAGAGGATTAAAGAGCTCATTGAAGTATTCCCTCCATCTTTCTGCTATCTCAGGTGGATCTATCAATGGCCTTCCTGTCTTATCATTTATTATTTCAGTGGGGTTGTAGCTCTCATCTCTTTTCTGCATATTTTTAATTACTTTGAAAAATTTTCTGCTGGCTGTTTTCTCATTTTCTGCTAGTGACTCACCGAAACGTTCCCAGGATGCTTGTTTTGCTTTCTTGACACTCCTGTTGGTTTCTCTCCTTTGCAGTCTATAGTTTATATAATCTTCTTCTTTCTTTGATTTTATCCACTGTTTAAATAAGTCTTTTTTCTTTTTAATTATTTATTTATTGATTGATTTTGTTTAATCAAAAATTAGTATCTTTTGTAAAGTTTTAATTTCAGTAAATAGTTGCTGCTGCTTTGAGTCTCTTGTTTAAATGCATACATTTATGAGATTCCATCATCAGTAGTAGGGTAGGTTTTTGCAGAACCTTGCTCTTATCTCGTCATGTTGCAAAGCCACTTGGCTCTGTGCCAACTTTCCCACTTTGTGAACTTTCATGACCAGGGTGGGCTGCCCCTAATACTCACTGTCTCGCTGGTTGACCTCTGGCTCTGCTCCCAGAGCTTAACCCTCCGTTACTTTCTTCTGAACCATTATAGCGTTAAATGTGGCCAAAATATTTCAGTGTTTTGTAACATTTACGCTTGCACACATTTAGACTAGATCATCCTTTAAAGTAGATTTGAAAACTTTATCTTTATGGGGATTTGATCACGCAACCACTGAGGCTGCAGGCAAACTTTAAAACCTCATAAGAGAGGAAAAACACACTTCGTCTCCTTTCATTTTGTGCACATTACATTTCTGGGTATGTGTTGTTAACAAATAATTTAAGCCACTCTTAAGCATGTCAGTGTGGAGATCATGGCTGTAACGAAAACCCTGGAATAGACACAAGAATTCACACAGCCGTGTTTTCTGAGTGACTTCATGAATATCGTAAAAAATAATAAAGCTGGATACCTGTGAAAGGAATGGTATCAGTGATTACAAAGAGCATTACTTCATACCATGACCTTTATCGGTGTCACAGACATTCTGGCATAGAAGGCAGTTAAAGCCAGACAAGAGGCGCCCTAGGAAGTGGGCCTTTAGTGGGCAGAAAGGACATAGTTAAGGCTGTGTGATAGAGGAACACATTCTGAACTTGAACATAAGGATATTGAATTTTCTCCGACTCGGATGAGAGGTCTAGATATACCAGTTACAACATGGAGGCCATGCAAGAGCTCACAGTCACCACACCAACCAGTACAGAACAAGAGTGGTCAGCTAAGAAACATTCTTAGGAGAAGATTGGAGCACTTATGTTTGGGCCCGACATGCAGTGAAGATGATGTTGAAATTAAAAAAAAATCAGCTACAACATGTGAATACAATACAACATTAGTATAGAATGTTGTTATATCAGTATTTATTTTACACTGTAAATATGGTGTTAATGTTTTGAATTAATTGCTTTTCTTAATTTTGCATTAGTTATTTCTCTGTCAGCCTAAAAATAGCTCCCTCAGTGCAGGGTGGGGAATGTACGGCCATGCAGGCTGCATAAGATTTGAATAAATCAGCCAGTCTGGTCCTGCCAGTGCAATCACAGTTAAATGTTGGACCGGATATGGTGGGCTGATTTTCTGTCTTCCTCCGTCTCCTCCTCTTCAGCATTTAGAATCCTTGAGGTTCATTGCTGCAGATACCATCTGTTTCTGTTCATCTCTGGGATCTGGTTTTCTCTTTTCTTTTGGTGACAGCTTGTGTATTATCTCTTCTTTGTGTTTGGTTTACCTTATTGTCTATGTCTATTCATCTATTTTGTGAACGCAATTTTAGGCCTATTTTTAATTTGATCATTTTCTATTGCCTGCGAATTATGTAAAAAAAAAAAAAAAAAAATCAAAATGACCCTTATAGAAGAAACCCCACACCCACTTCACTCTGCTTTGAGGGAAGCAAAGAACAGTAATGTCTCACCACTTCACGCTCATATAGCACCATTATATGTTAATAACTGCCGTTTATTTATGTTTCAGTGATGGCTATGTGCAATCATACCGCTCTATGTTGTCGGCAATAAATATGTTGCTTGTCCTTGCTATTAATAAATGTAATTAATATGGAAATGTGGTTTGGTGAGCTTTTTCAGCACAGTTAATTATCTGTGAAGGTAATGAAAACTGACGATATCAGGCTAGAAGGAATCAACGGTTTGAGTTAGATTGGGGGATGACAGCTGGCAAGTTTATGTCCATCTGTGACAAATATTTATTGAGGATAAAATATGCAGTAATACCCAGGGCTTTTTTCTGGCAGTGTGCAACATTACGCAGTACCAGCACCTTTTTTTGTTTGTTTTTGTAAATTCTTTTTTTTTTTAGCTATCACATTTTCAATTACTGTAATAGACGCTTTGAGATGAGTATCAGCATCTTTTATTCTAGGAAAAAGCCCTGGTTATTCGGGTTGTGGAGGGTTTTTAAATAGTACTTATCATGTTGTAAGATTGTCGAAGTGATACTATTGGATGTAAAGGAATGAAAGTAATATGTTTAGATGTGATCATCATTATCAATTGTCTTGCTGACTGGGGTATGTGATCATACACCTTTCTGTATCAGCACAAAAGGCTGTTATGAATCTTCTCACATTATCTTTCTCTCTGTTTCCACTGTTATGAATCTTCTCACATTATCTTTCTCTCTGTTTCCACTGTTAGGAATCTTCTCACATTATCTTTCTCTCTGTTTCCACTGTTAGGAATCTTCTCACATTATCTTCCTCTGTCTCTGTTTCCACTGTTAGGAATCTTCTCACATTATCTTTCTCTGTCTCTGTTTCCACTGTTAGGAATCTTCTCACATTATCTTTCTCTGTCTCTGTTTCCACTGTTAGGAATCTTCTCACATTATCTTTCTCTCTGTTTCCACTGTTAGGAATCTTCTCACATTATCTTTCTCTCTGTTTCCACTGTTAGGAATCTTCTCACATTATCTTTCTCTCTGTTTCCACTTTTAGGAATCTTCTCACATTATCTTTCTCTCTGTTTCCACTGTTAGGAATCTTCTCACATTATCTTTCTCTGTTTCTACTGTTAGGAATCTTCTCACATTATCTTTCTCTCTGTTTCCACTGTTAGGAATCTTCTCACATTATCTTTCTCTCTGTTTCCACTGTTAGGAATCTTCTCACATTATCTTTCTCTGTTTCTACTGTTAGGAATCTTCTCATATTATCTTTCTCTCTGTTTCTACTGTTAGGAATCTTCTCACATTATCTTTCTCTCTGTTTCCACTGTTAGGAATCTTCTCACATTATCTTTCTCTCTGTTTCCACTGTTAGGAATCTTCTCACATTATCTTCCTCTGTCTCTGTTTCTACTG